AGGCACGCACCCTTGCAAAGGTGTGAATAGGTACATACATCTGCAGAAAGGATACCACATATGTATATATATATATATATACTTTTTTAACCATGTATACATACCTTATGAAATTCATGACAGGCTCTGCAGTTGTTTTCCAGTATGTGCCACACTACAAATAAATGCCATGTCTGTTCTTTCTCTATCTCTTTCTTTCGCAAGTGTTGTGGGCCGGGGTTTTCCCCTTGCCAGCGCGCTCGTGCGCTCCCGACCGTTGCATGTGCCAGTTGAGAGAAAGGGCTTTACAGACAGTGGGCAGTCCACTCCGGGACCTGTTTGCTTCAAGCAACCGAGAAAAAGTTTTCCGGCTAGGTAATATCGGGTCTCTCTCTCTCTCTCTCTTTCTTGCTTGCTTCAGAGCTAGGGGGTAATGCCCCTTTCCGAAGGGGCTCCAGTCTGTACTGCGTCCAGCGCACGTCGGCGTGAGACTTCTGGGGTTTGTCCCCGTTGCACAGAACTTCTGGGACTGGTACGAAACTAGGGTACAGAGACTGCGGTGTCACACTGAACGGCGGCACAGGCTTGCCCTGGTTTGCATTTCTGAGTTTGCTCCTGTGCCCCCGCCAAGGCGAAGTAACCGGACGAGCCAAGATGTGCAACATATGGGCGGCGGCACAGGTTCTCACTAGCTGCTGCCCCCGCAACTGTAGGCTGGAGACTAGCTTCAACGCTGCACTACAAGGCCCCCGTACGAGTCCACCTTGCCTATGGCCTTAGTCGCAGAAGGCCGCATGCATTCGTCTACGGCGGTGTGAGTCTGCTCTGCTCTCAGTGCTGCGTCTTCTGGGGCTGCCTTCCGGCTCAGGTGGTGACCACGGTAGCGGCTGCCACCGGTGCCAGATGCGGGCGGGACGAACTGCATCCCCGTCGACGGGGGGCTCCACTGCGCGTTCTCCCCGTGGTTGAGGTTCCTTCTGGCTCAGGTGGCGACCAGGGTAGAGGCTGCCGTGGTTACGCAAACCACACTGCCGTAGCAAACCGTGCCCCCCGCGCGGTAGCATGGGGCTTCTGTCACCACGGAGTGGGCGCGCCCGTGCACGACACTGCTCCAAGGATCGGCAAGGAAGATTAATTAGATGTGCAAGTTTCCAAAGGAACGTCTTTTCTGAAATATCGGACTTGAAGGCTGCTCCCCCGAAGGATGGCTTGGATCTGGGCACCGGCAATGTCTACGGATGTCTATGCACGGAGGCCTTTGTTGGGTACTCACGCCCCGCCCATGGCTCTGTCGTCTGGGTGCAAAAGACAGACGTGGAGGCCGCAGGTTTGATTTGAAAACGGCATCGGCGGAAGCTCAAGCCCGGGTGGGTTCCCGACTTGAGCCAAAATGGCTACTCTCTCTCTCTCTCTCTTTCTCTGTTCTGTTCTCCGGGGCATGTGTATCAGGCTCTCTCTCTCTCTCTCTCTCTCTCTCTCGCTCGCTCTTCTTGCAACACATAAAGGGGCGGGCGCGTTTAGAACTGTTCCGAACCCGGGTGAAGACCGCAGTGCGACGGTGTACTTGAAGTGCTACGCTGTAGGGCACGCCCCATGGCGAGCAACTTACGCAAGCGTGTGACACGAATCTCCAGACCTCAAGAGCTCGGGTGTGACCATTTTGTCCACTGCTTTCGCTGACTCAGGCAGCTGGTACAGCTAACGCTAAAAGCTCCTTGCCCTTGGTTTGGGGGCCTGGTCATCACCTAGAAACAACAAGGGTTCACGCATGGGACTAGGGACTTTGAACGCAAACATGCCATGGGCCGTCCTGCCAGTAGTAGTATGCTGGTGTACAGTATTCTACTCCAAAATAACAAAACGTGTTTATCAGGACTACTGCGGGGCTGAGTACACGTTGAATCTCGAAGGACTGCGCAATAAGGATTGGGGCCTGGTGAGCTTTAACACTAGCAATTAGTACTGCGAGGCTACTTGATACTGCGGCTCGAAGGTTGCTACTTTTGTCTGCTGAGCCTCAGGACGCTGCATGTTCATGCCCGGAAAGTTTCTTTCACGCGCGGGGATTGAAAGCTGGTTGCCTTTTTGCTCATGTCAAAGCCCATATCTGAAAAGGCAAACGACTGATCTGAAGCCAAACCCTCAACAGTCAACGCTAGCACAGCATGCAACTCGAGCCAAATCTGCATCTAGGTTGCAACCACCCCCAAACGCCCGGATCCCCGTCAGCACAAGGAGCAATCCCCCTGGGGAGCACTCAAAACCAAAGTTCTTGGGTATGTATTGGTGGCCTGGGCATTGAGGGGTTTTGGACTTGGAGCTATAGACCCTAATTCCTTCAAGACCCCCAAGCCCACAGATCTCGAACTCTAAACTTTATATTTGGAGCGATCAGACACTAAGAGACACTAATCTAGAATCTAGAATACTCAGACCCTTACTACAACCCTCCTTACAGATGGTCGCGCGATTCATTTTTGATTCGTGCGCAAGCCCATCTCAAAACATAGCCTTAGTTCGAAAAACGAATCTGGCATCAAAGCGACGTTGTTCGCAGCGCAGGACAGTTGATTAGTTGGTTGATGGGAACCTAAGCCTAAGCATTTTCAACAACCAATCCAAAGGTCAAAAACGTGGAAACCAAATAAAACAAACACACCAAATCGACCAAACACCAACACACAATTGTACAGCAGACTAGTCCCCCAGATTGTTTGCCAGTTTTTTGTTTGTTCGTTTGTTTGCTTGCTTGTTTCTTTATGCGTGTGTGTACTCTTTTTGCTCATGCCCGTGCGCCGCTTGTTGCGCATGAGGGGCTTGGGGGTTTACCGCAACCTTTCTCCGAAGTTATGTTGAGCAAAGATTATGCCAGGGTAGGGAGATGGTTTTCAATCATTAGTTAGGAAAAAAGCCAAGGCAGCCTGAGGGTTGAAACATCGCAGGCTATCCATGTTTTGTGCAGTTATGAACTTACGAAGTTCTTGACCAATACCTGGCACTCGATGTCTTTGTTTACTCTTCTTTCAGTCTAAAACAGTCAGTTATATCGGATGATAAACTTAGCAACCGTCTGCAATGTTTCACGACTATGTCTAAATCTTTGCAAATAGCGTTTCATACTTATGCATTTTGCAAAAAAGCGTATATATGTATGTGTATATATATATATAAGTATTGACAAACTGAGTACGCCACCTACAAGTATTCTATGTAAACTATTAGGTTAGTACCTGGGCAACATCTTACCTGAAGCGTGGCCAGTCACTATGTACTCACAACAATCGTATATCTTTCCACATGTTGAGGCGCAACATATGCAGCCCAATTCAATGCCACAGTGTTGCTAATAGTTAAATCTCACGTAGCATTTTCATCAATATTCACTGAGCCTAGTGCAAGACTAACCGACGGTTCAATATCAGTTACATACAGTATGGTTTGTCTTGTTCTTACTTGTGCTTTCCATGCTCGTCGCATGAACGATTACAGTTGATAAATATGGATATTGTTGAACATGCGGTAGCCTTGCCAAGCTTCCGTTTTAGTTGTACGTAAGAACACAAGCAGGCGAGCATAACCCAAATACAAACGACATGCCACATTTGCTAAGATGGTTCACAGACACACACACACACACACACACATATATATATATATATACAAGAATGTATACACAGACATACGTATATAATTCATGTGGGCCAACAGCTAAATTAGAATCGACATTTAAAGCACTGGTTGCATCGAAGCTTCTAACACAGAACCAGTATACAACTACTATGCGGCCATGAAGTGCTAAGCAAGCATTACTTCCGTACATTACTTCCGATTCCTTTAGAGCCAAATGCAACGGCATCATTGCTAAAAAAAACTACGCGGGCACTTCTTAAATACCAAGCGAGTATGCAGGGAGGGATGTACGTACATGTATCAACCGAGTAGCAGCATTTAAACCTGAGTTCTCATTTTCTCACAACGTGTTTCATTGATGGTCTTGCCTTTCCTCCGGAGATGTATTGTTCATCAACCTGACACTACGCCTCATGTACGACAAGAAGCCGCCAAACTCATCGGTACTTGTGGTGATACCGTTTGCAGCTGACATACCTACGCCTTTTGCAGCAAAGACGGGGCCAACCGGGTTTGCCCCTCACCGAATTATCAGATACACCTTAGGACCTAAGAACTCTGAACCTGAGGCATTTTGAGTGCTCCTTCCATGCTTCCGGCCGCCCCCGTTCGGCTCAGTCAGTCGAGAATGACCTGATTCTTGGAGCTATTTTGGAGCTTTGGATTCATTCGTTGGGCTTTGGGAGTTGGGGGTTTAAGGCGGCGAGGTGGGGATTTGGGATGGGGTTCGGAGCTTCAGTTTTGGACGTCAGGCAGCGTTGCCTTGCTGAAAGCAACAAGCCACCAGAAATCCACGAACCCTGAGCTTCTCTAAGTCGTGGCTGCTCCCGAGAGCAGCCCAGCCTGTCGTCAGCTCTCGGGCACAGGACATGTGTTCGGAGTTTTGACAGTTTCAGGAGGTTCGTGCTTCGGGCTTCGGTCTCAGAGCTCGGCTCAAACTGCGGCAAAGGGCTTTCGGCTTTCCAGGCCTGCAGGCCATTTACCGGACCTTCCCCTCCTAGAAACCCACCTCGAAGTACACATGAAGCCAGCCTGAGGTGGTCCCTGCAGGTCTATCCCACACCCGATGTTTCCGTCGCCGCCACAGCAGAGGTTTCCACTTTGGGCGCACCGGCGCTTTCAGCGTCTAGGCCCGGCAAGTGCACAGGCCAGGTGCGTAAAGTGTAAGGGGCAAGGTATCAGCCAAGTCAGCTTCAACTTTGGCAGGTCATAAGGCCGATGACTCTATGCGTCGACGATGATACTCAGAAGACGGGCCTAAACAATCGTAATCTTTATAGTCACTACGATGAAAACACAAGGACCGAGGTGGCTTGCACCATTTTTTGGGCCTGAAATTCTTGAAAGCTGCGACGGATCGCCAAGTGGAGCCTGGGTGAGACTGTACATGGCTAAAACGAGTCGGTGCTTGCACCTGTCTCAAAGTCGACACTATGAGAAATTGGTGGCAGATTATTTCTAAAGTGGAAATGGTGGTGAAAGTGCGAATGCAACTGCTCCATGAACGGAGTGGCGGGCAAAGCCCTTGCTGTGACCTTCTTCGCCTTGTTTCCAAAGGCTCCACCAGCCTTCAGCGGGTTTTCAGGTGTAGGGCCTCTTCAGCCTTTCAGTACTCTGCCGACCCCAGCCCCTGAACCGCCCTCGCCTGTAAGTTCTGAACCGAGTTATGCCCCGCGCCTTGTAAGTAATTGGGGCAAGGACTTGTGGCTTGGCAAAGGGCGACGTTCGTGGAGGTAGCAGATGCTTCGCACGGATCTTGCCCACAAACCTGCGATGCTTCTCCTGGGCTGTATTAGTATGGTCACCAGGAGGGCCTCTTCGGACGCTACGAAGACAAACCACGCACAGGTCCCGCACCGTGCAAAAAACCGTGCATTCTCCCTTGGAGGGCTCTGCAGGTGTTTTTCATGTGTTATTCAGGTGCTCCTCTTCTCTCTGCTGCGGTCCCTGTTTGCTTGCGAGTCTCCTCCGGTGAAGAAACCTGGACATCCGGTGGGGCACAGGAGACGGATGGTTGCCAGAGCCTTCCATCCGACGTTGACTTGCTCATACGCCTTGGCAAGGCTCTAGAGCAGGCAACTACACACAAGGGAGATGTAAGTTCTCAACCTTCAAGCTTGGTTTGAAGGCCGTAAATGCTTGGACTGGACTTTAGTAATGTACCTTGGCTCAGATCAAGTCATAGAAGGCCTTGGGAACCTGCACGCCATATTTTGTCACGGAACTGAAGCTCCTAGCGACATTGAGGGTGCCCGACATGTTCGGTCATGACTAGCGCAGGCTTTAGAGCCGTTGCATGCTTACAGCTCGGCGAGATAGGTCGACACCTGAGTCTAACAAGTTGGGTTTTTACCGATCTGGGCTGGCCTTAGAAGGCTTATGAGACTTATGAGCTAACCCAGCAGCTCTCGCCTTCAGGATCCGATGCTCACGAAGAACCAAACCGAGGTGTGCGACACAAGCTAAATCCACCAAATCCATCCCATCCCAACATTCATCGAAACGCACCCATTAGTGCCTTTTCATCTTCGTAAACTATTCGTGAAAGCCTTGTTTGCTGCTGGCAGCTTTGTACAGGAAGATGCCTTGAGGCTTCAGGCTCTAAACTTGGTGCCGAAGCGTCTCTGTTGTACAAGACTTTGAGGACTCTAGGTTTCGGGCATGTGGCTTCCGTGACACGCTGAACAGTAGCCGAAAGAAGCTTAAGTCCGAAGATAATCTAAACCTTGCGCAAGATTACCGGGGAGAGCCAGGATGCGAGGAAGAATCCGTTGGAGTAAGCGAGCGTCCGTGCGTCATCCATGTCGAATCTGCACCCTCGTAGTCGTAGTCGAGGTCCTGCAGCTCAGGCTGAGGATTTTTGTCGGTCTTGCGCCGGCTGGTTCACCTGATCGTCACAGGCTGTTGGGGGGATGTGCTGCAAGCTCAAACATCTGCCATGCCACACCGCCTCTCGACTGTCCAGGCACCCCATGAACTCGACAAAACCGACTTGAAGCAACTCACGAAAGTGGATGTTTCGCCTCCCGCTTGGCTGTTTTGCTTTGGGTTTATGGCACAAGGCCTTGAAGTGTAATCCTGCAGGCAATCAGTCTGCAGGCAGATCTCATAGACATCTACATGTGTAGCATTTGGCCTTGCTCTGGGGGACATGGCTTGCAGCGCTGGTGCAGAGATAAGCCCAGATTGAGAAAGCGCATGCTCTCCAACGGGGTTTGCCCCGTAACATCAATAGTGCATTGTCTGTCAGCAGGTGACAGAACAGCATGTTCCGCAAAAATCAAGACATCTCAATAACTCATGATTTGACTACAAAAGGGGAGGATTTGGGTTTACGTGGTTCAGAGCTTCGTGGTGTCGGGGTAAACACTTCCTTACGGGTGACGACTTGCAGCTTTCAGGTTTTCAAGGCTTTTTGAAAGAAAATACCCAGAGAAAACTTGGAGCCAGGCGTAGAGCTAAACCCCTGTCTACTCCTACGCCGTAAATCGCTCACCTTCGGCTTCTGTCTAACTTGCTTCAAACTGGTGTTCCAGTGTTCGGCAGTTTGGCAGTCCGGCATCTGTAGGGCTTCAATCCGACGCAAGCCGCTTCCACGTCGAAAGTCGTGGATATGGAAACTCTGACAAAAGCAACATGTCATGTGCATGAAGGTCCGCATCAGCATCGCCCATGTAGACTCGACTGAAGTCCAGGGGCGGCACGGGGTGCACCCTCTTTGGCGAGGCCTCCTTCTCGTCGAACCTGTGTTCTCGAAAGGAGTTTGTTCATTCCGCGGCGCAGGATTTGCAGTAGAATGAAATATAAACTTGTGTCTAGTGAAACAGCCCTAACATGAACATCTACATCATGACGTCTGACAAGATTCGAAGATTCCTTATGAAAATGGTCTAAATTCAGCTCGATCTAGTTATTGCTTTCATCACATGAACACGCAAGAGCCACTCCAACAATGAACGCTATCCTACATGGGCCGTTCCTTCTGTTGAAAACAAGCCGTATAACATATCCTCCAGCAATGCATTCGTGAGGCAATCTCTCCCGGAGCTTCAGCTTAAAGTTTGGGACCGCAGAGGTATTTCATGCACGACTTGCAGGGCTTGCAAAGATGAAAGGCTCTCGGACCCTCCGGGAAGCGCTCTGAAGCAACGCTTGTTTGAGTTTGCGTCGTTGAAGCCAACCGTGGTCTCTGAAAGCCTTAGCCCTGGAGGAACCCTACCTAGCCCCCGAATGGTACTAGCTCTTTACGGACAATACATGTATTTGCTGAATTTGCTGCTCGGTTCCAATTATAAGAAAGTCGGGTGACACCGGCTTAGGTAAGCCCAATAAACCACCCATTGGACTGTGCCGGCCGAGCAGCAGCGCGGAGCACCTAAGCGGGACCCCGGAAGCCTCGGACGGACGAGACCGCGCCGAAGAGGGAGCTGGCGGCGATGGCGGGGTCATTAGTCCCTCGGCCTTAGTCTGAGACATTCAAGGGTTCAGGGCTGTGTCGGGACTGGGGTCTTGAAGCGCTGGCCGTCAGCGATGCGGTCCAGAAGCTATGGCTGCGAGAAGTGCGTGTGTAAGCAACCACCGTTCAAAAACGCTTGGAGGCAGAGCAGCTGGAGTCAACCCGCCCTCGCCAGCAAACCACACACACCCACACAGGGCTCCACGGGGCAGCCTGGCAGAGGAACTTGGTAGGCCGAAGCAGCACAGAGGTGGCAGACCAAGGACTTTCCAACCGTGGGTTTTCACCACCTGGCCCTCTGCAAAGGCTGGGAGCCGGGGCTCAAAGGGCGTGAGCTGTCAGAGTACTCGCTGCCGACAGCTGCCATTCACGTGCCACTGAAGTTGCTTGTTGGGAGCACACGTGTAGGGTTTGACGTTCTGGAAATTAAGAGGCTTGAGCGGATCGGGCTTGTTCTGTAGGCTTGTTTGGGACAGCAGGCTCTGAGCAGCGCCGGGCAACTAGGGCTGTCAATTCTTGGGGTTACCCGTCGCTTAACCGAGGGTTTGGGCTACAGGCCAAGTGTCAGTATCAATGATAAGGATGGATGTGGGTGGTAGTGGTGGTAGTAGTAGTAGTGGTAGTAGTAGTAGTAGTGGTAGTAGTAGTAGTAGTAGTAGTAGTAGTAGTAGTAGTCGTAGTAGTCGTGGTAGTAGTACTAGTAGTAGTAGTGTAGTAGTAGTAGTAGTAGTAGTAGTAGTAGTAGCAGTAGCAGTAGCAGTAGCAGTAGCAGTAGCAGTAGTAGTAGGAGTAGTAGTAGGGGTAGTAGTAGTAGTAGTAGTAGTAGTAGTATTATTCCATTACCCTTTTATTCAACACACCCCTAATATACTAGAAATACATTCCGTTAAAACCTATCCTGAATTAGGGGTAAGGTTGCAAGGCCCCAAAACACCCGATCCTAAACCCTTTTTTGCATCAGGACTTGTGCAATCGCCTGAATGTCCGTAAACCCTTCGTTCAGCTTCCTTCCGCCTCCTGCGTCCGTAAACCCTAAACCCTAAAACCCCCCAAACCCCTAAGCAAGCATCCCTCCGTCCTCACTCGTTCCCTTAGCTTCTGGGGCTGTCTGTCTTTTTGTGAGCGTGGCACTCAGGCCTTCCTCACTCTTATAGGCAAAACGGCAGCCTGCCTGTCTTTCTTGAACCCATTGCAGCTAACTACCCAAATATGACAATAGAGACAAACATACCCCGTAACAAGAAACACATTTTCCGAGTTTCAGTTGGGGGAGGCGCACCACTCCTCCGTTCAATATTGGGGGGAGGGATTAGCATTATCATCATTAAGATTATGATGATGGGTGCTATTGTTATGATCATTATTATTAGCAGTAGCAGTAGGAGGAGGAGGACGAGCAGGAGGAGGAGGAGGAGGAGATGATACTGGTAGTAGTAGATCACCAGCTCGGGCTTTATTGCATCGCTGTGGCGTCAAGTGCTGCGGTTTTTCGTGGCGACTTTTGCTGCCATTACCCATCGTGTAGTATTAGACAGATACGAGAGGCACTATTGCGGCCTTGTCACAAGGAGGGAGCCACGTGAGCTGGGGTGGGTGATGTCTTCCGGCGAAGCCTTGCCACTCTCAGGTACACACGATTTAGAGAGAGTCTGAACAAGCTTCTGAGGCAAGTGGAAAGAGATGAACTACAGAAGTTGGACATCAATCGCAATCATGTATCTGCAGTACGGCACTACAAACCCCAGAGGGTGAACGCCAGTGTGGAGCACGGGATACAGTAACCTCAACCCACCATAAAACCTTTGCCCATCTAGGTTTCTCGAGAACATGGAACTTTGACGTATATGCAGCGAACTCATCTTAACTCCTGAGACGACTACAGTTGCTGTCTTGCTTTGTTTGCCTACTCAAGCTCAAGTGCCTGCTCAATCATTCGGTCATTAAGGTCTCACATGCACCACACGCATGCGGAAACCAAGCCTTCAAAAAACACTGCACATTGGCAGCAATCTTTCAACGACAGCAGCGCGTAGCCGTGCAGACAGAACGTGCCAGCCAAAGGCCTAGTTACATGCAGCCCGTCGCATCTGAGGGCTGAAAGAAGCCACACACATCAGTAAGTTCGAAGCCCTGAGAGACCCGTTACATCTCAAAAATTTGAGCCCTCGGCCCTGAGCCCTTCTGAGCCCTAGTGGGGCTTGCGGCCTGAGCAAAGGAGGGCGAGTCCGCCATGGCCATTCCCAGAGTGCGCACAAGTTCTCGAGGGCTCATCTTCGCTGGGATGCCTCAGCGAGGCGGGCCGTTTTCGGGGGGTTTTCGGAGCTGTAAAGCAGAGCTTTCAGGTCTCCGCAGAATCCCTGGCGTTCATGTGCTCGAAGGCTGAGCGGCTTAATGGATCCTGGTGGTTTGTGGTTCGAGGTTCTGGAGTCCTAGAGCGCTCTGGGATGGAGCCTTCCCCAATCCCTAAGATGGGTTCCAAGCACTCCTGACCAGTCAATCAAGCCTCTCCAGCACCTCGCCCCCCCCCAAGCATTCAAACTCTACCCGTATAAATCACAGGAACCCTTACATCACGAAACCCGAAAGAAACTGAAAGTCCCAGATGCAAGAGGCGGCCACCTCCTGAAGCATCATGAGCTGGACCCGTAAGCGCCAGGCCTCCAACTCTTCGTCCTCCAGGGGGCTGCAGGGCATTTTGCTGGTTAAAAAAACCAGTGTCGGTCTTTGGGAAGCGGGCGTAACCATGGGAGGCCTGTCCTGTGTGTCCGCCTGTGGCGCGATCTCCTGGTTGTGCGCCTCTCGCGTCTTGAAGCTCTACGGTTTCAGGCTTAAGAGCGTCAGGCTTTTCGGAGCGTGCAGACAGCCAAGGGCCCTCACTGCTGAGGCCTGTGAGATCGCGAGCTTGCGCTCGGGGTTTGGGTCCAGGGTTGAGTTTTAGGTTTCATTTGCGGCGCTCCTCCATCACATCTGCCACGTCCGCTTCTGCCTCTGCTTCTACCTCCACATCTGACGGCTCCTCCGGAGCTGGAAGCCTCACATCTTTCTGCCCCAGCGAGACGTGAAGACGTAAGGAGGAAGTTTCGTAGTTCAAGCCAGGAAGCCCGGGTGCATCGGAAAGCGTCAGCTGAGACGAGGGCCTCTGCTCCTCTCGGGTCTGTTCGTCTACGTGCTCGAGCAAAGCCGCCCTGACCTGAGCAGGGCCCTGGCCCATGGCCCATGGGAAGCCGGTCACGGTTTTGAAGTCCGGGCTTGAGGCGCTAGTTGTGTTGCTACCTATGAGGTTTACATTTTCTCACCTGCGCCCCCATCACCATGGTCCGGACCGCTGAACTATCATCGACAGAGACTGCGCAGCTCTTTCTTTGTCAGAAGCTTAAGCTCTCCGCTGCACAGCCGATAAACTGATTCAAACGGGGCTTGCCAACCCGGAGCTTCTCGTCTAAAGCTTGGAAGCGTGATGCTCTTTGGCGTTTTTGTGGGGCCATTGCTCGGATGGCTGCTTTCTGCTTGCTGGCCCTTCTGTGTCGTCAGGTAAGTAGCTTAAGATAACTTCACCGGGTGGACTTTTGCGGGTACCTTTGGGCGGTTCGCGGGCGGTTCGAAATTTTGCTTCTCTCGTGGGTCGTCATGGTAAGCTTGTGACACGCTCCTCTGCAACTTTGAACAAATCCAAGACAGGAACAGGATGGGCTAGCCAAGTGCTTGCCTGGACAAACTACGTTCGAAACCCGAAAGCATTTCGGCGATGACGACGGTGACCATCCCGATGACCCTCCCTGCCGTCGAAGAGCTATCTCTTGAGCTTCCGTCGCCTCTTCCACGTGACTCGAAAGAGCAGCTTGGGCAACCGCATCACGCGCAATCAATTTTTCCTGCGGTGCAACTTTGTCTTGACAGTCCCTCTCTCCCCTCCCGCTCTCCCTCCCTCCCTCTCTCCCTCCTTCCCTCTCTCCCTCCCTCTCCCTCTC